TCATAAGAAAACAAATCTAACGACAAAACCATTGAAGCGAAAGGTAAGGGGTGTTCAACAGGTGTTGCACAACAATCAGTGGTTGGGCTGACTCTCCTCTCACAGGATCTGCAAATGAATGACAAAATTCTCGTTCAATTCAATGCCTTTTCCTATCTTCTCATTCAGTCTCACTCTTATGTATTGAAAACTGGTTTAAATATATTGTGGGAATCAATTAAAACCAGTTTTGTTTCTCTAATGCCGTTGTTATAAAGTCGGCGACTATTAAAACCAATTATTATTAATGTCTTTAATTAGTTATTTGGGAATTATTTTTACTACTTTTTTCTATACAAATATAATTTATTAACTGATTTTGTTTGCATAGAAAACACAAATGGAAATTTCAGTTAGTGTTTAATTTGAGAGGAAATGTATTTTAAGCTTTAAAAGTGTTGTAAAAGTATTGTTAAACTGTTTCACAAATTTATTGTAATTGTTGTAAATTTTAAATAAAACATTTCTCTTAAATACTAAAACATAACTTTTAAATACTAAAAAATATTTAGAATAAGAAATTAGTATAAAATTGACTCAATATTTAGTGAAAAAAGGAAAGAAAAACAACTTTTTGATTGAATAAGTGATAAAAACTTTCTAAAATAGGTTCTTAATAACTTTTAAAAGCAAATAAAATGCAATATTTGTGCTTAATTACAAATATTACGTATTTTAGTGACAAATCCTAATAAAGAAATGAGTATTTCATTTGATGCTTATATTTAGGCGATTATATTAATGAATAATTAAATATTTAATTTTTAGGTCATTTTAATAACACAGTATAAATGTTTTGACAAACAATTATTATGCAAATTATAAATACATGGCAGGGATTCTGAAGGCTATATAAATCCGTATAAGTTATTTCAAAGAGTTATTGGCATCAGTTATATTTGGATATAGATTGGTAACTATCGTATATAATACTGATGCCAATTGCTATTATATAACACTTGTATAAACACTTTAGACGGTTATTGCATAAAAATAACGAAACATAATAATTGTGTGAATTTTCTTCTGCAATAAAAGCATCATTTCATTAGTTTGTGTTTGAGGGCCAGAAAATGCCAAAATTAAAACTGGTTACCTTTATAATTAATTGTTTTATTTCTATAAGCTAAATCTCTCTCTCTCTCTCTCTGCAAAATGATTGATAAAAGGATGTGGCAATCCATATCTCTCTCTCTCTCTCTCTCTCTCTCTCTCTTTCAGTGATATGTAATTACAATAAAATACAGACGCCTGTAGTTTGAAATGACACAACAGATGCTATAATTATTAAAACTAACCAAAAGGGGTATAATTTTTAATTGAATACATGCTTAGAATTAGAGCAAATACAGACACCTTAAGGTTTATAGCAAATTAACAACCATTTCATTTCATTTTAGTTTAATTATACCAGAAAAATATAATCTATTTATTTATCTCATTATTTAACTATAGGTTTATTGTCCAGAATATTAATGAAAACTCAGATACGAAATGCCATTTTGAGAAATGTATGCGAAATATAAAAAGTTGAATGACTTTTGTAGTGATGTTCACAGAATCGTTATCTAAATTAAATCTCACTCTATATATGGAAGTTATATACAAATATAGATTTGAACAAAAATTTAGTCAATTATTAATTCGCTTTTATTTTGATATTAGAATAAATATAAAGTAATTCAATAATTATTTACAAAACAATTATAAAAACTAAATTCACACAAATTTATTGGGAAAGAAACGTAAGCCATAAATGCTTTCATCCCTACAAACAATTCCAGTGGTCTCGCAGTCGACGAGTCTCTGTCGGGCCAACGCCTGCGGAATGTTAGCATCGATGGCCAACTCTTGAGCCGATATGGAGTCCGACTTTTCCAACAAATCTATTATCATATTATTCATGGCATTCGCGTTGTAGTTATCGCTCTCCACAACTATCAGACTCTTGTATTTAACCATTTTTAGGCCACACTTTATCGACTCAAACGTTGAACACGAGTTCAACAAGTCTTCAACAGAGATGAGCTATCATTGGAAATAATTCACAATATGTTAGGCAATAACTGAAGACATGTATGACATTTATAGATGACATACATCGAGACCACGGGCTCTATTGACAGTACAGAAGGCGTCCGTCAAAGACATTTGTCCACCACTTTTCTCGACAATGGGTTTAATGATCTGCGAGATCTGTTTGGCTAACTCTGTGTAGTATTTGTTATCACTGGAGAACTGGGATCTCATCACCGGATCGTCCAATTGGTCACTAATACCTAAACTCAATAAATGGCTTTTGAATAAAACCGTCTGAAAAATAGCGATTAAAACCGCAATTAATTCAATGAACAAAAAGTGTCGCAAATTATGTCATTTAAAAACCTCATCGTTTGAAATGTTATTTCCCTTATCCTTAAGTTTTTGTGTGATATTCTTCGAGAGTCCCACCATTTGTTTGGCCTATAATGTGACGATAAGTTAGTGATAATGAATGACAATAAGTGGTGTTTGGATGTGATTACCATTTGCATCAATTGCTTCATGTCTTGGAAAGCCGTCGATATCTGTTTGTCAGTCAACTCCTGTTTGTCTTTAATCTTTTGCTCAATTCCGCCGATTCCTCCCAATGGGCGGGCCATGTCTTCAGATGGGATCAGATGTGATGACAGTTCGCAATCAATTCCAACCAAAGCCAGGGATCAAATGGATTGCAAACAAACTTTTGTCGTGTGTTTTGTTTACGAAAATTAAAGCCCAAAAAGTGATGAGAAATTCATAGAAAACGTAATGTTTTTGTAACAAAACTCACAAACAGTGAGTGAATCAATGTTTTGATGATTTGTCTGACAATTGGTTTCACAAAAAAAGTTTAGATTTAATTCAAAACTCAATTAAGAGTTGATTTAATCGATGGATAAAATTGTAATTATTTATTGATTTTTGTCTTAATATTTGAGTAGTTTTTGAATGTCATTAACAGTAATGTATTGTTTGCGCTCTTTTTGCAGGACTTGTCGGCGTTTTCTGATCAAGACTTTGATCCAATCGATTGGATCAACAACTGGTTCGATGGCGTCGAAGACAAGTCGTCGACAGAGCCGTTGGCCGCGGATCTGGTCTCGAATCTGCAACTTCTGGTGCAAGAGGTGAACAACTCTTTGGGCGAAAGCGCACAACAAATGATACATAATTTGCCGAAAGTGTTGAGAGAAGCCGAAGGACTCCAAACCGATTCACTACAACTCAAGACACAACTCATTGCCAACAAACAAAAGTTGGACAAAATGACATCCGATTCGTCCAAATCGATGCAACGGCTCATCACTTTGGATGTGATTAAGACACGGATGACAGACACGTGCAAAGCCCTCGAAGAGGCCGACAATTGGACCACTCTTTGGACTGATGTGGAGGAGGTGTTTGTGAGCGGAGACATGTCTGCCATCGCATCCAAATTAGTGGGAATGCAGAACAGTCTCAATATTCTGATCGATGTTTCCGATTATGAACAACGGGTCCAACGGCTCGAAGAACTTAAGGACAAGTTTGAGGCGATGATTGAGACGGAAGTTGTCAATAGTTTCACGTCTCAGACATCAGATTCGGCACATCTTTATGTAAAACTCTTTAAAGACATGAAACGATTGCCTAAACTGAAGAACTATTATCACAAATGTCTGAAGAATCAAATTCTTATGGAATGGAAGCGAATCATTGTTTTAGATCCCGAAGAGAGTGTAATCGATTGGATGAATGGTTTGCATGACTTTCTGTTGTCGTTATGGCACTCGCAGATCATCTTCTGCTCTCAAATACTATTTCCCAGTGATTTTGAGACAACAATCGAGACATTGAGCGATATATTGGTCGATGTTTTCTCATCACTTGATCCAAGTCTTACGCAATGTATCAATGAATGGATTGAAAAACAAAACAATCCGTTAGAAAGCGTGCACTTTATAATAGAGATGAAACAATTCACTCATCAATTCTGCAAAAGTCTTGAACTTAGCATTGAGTCCAACCTTTCGACTAAATGTGTTCACAAACCGAGTGTCGAATTGTTAGCTCAGGTGTTGTACTCTCCTTATCAGCAAATGATGGATAAATACATCAGTCTTGAGAGACAGTGTCTCGACCAACAGCTGGTTGTACTCGAGGCCATCGGACAGCCGAGTGAGTCGTTGAGGAAAGCGTTTACATTTGCTAAAGAAGTGGAGAAACGGTGTCACCAGTTGTGCCAATCGGTTGCCATTCCATGTCTACTACCGGTTCTTCAAAACTTCTTTACCAAATATTTATCTCAATTCAAGTCAATTGTGGCTCAAATTCGTCAGAAATCGGATTCAAGTGAGAATAAGTCGTCGATTCCGGACTTTGCGCTCTTCCAGTTATCTCTGTTCACACTTCAGGCCAGCGGTGAACTCATCGTTCAGACGGAACTCTTTCAGCAGCAACTCTTCACCGGTTTAATGGAAGTGAACAAAAATGTTTCCCACATTCCCGCCGACGGGACCGGCAGTCCGTTCACTCGTTTCGATCAATTGATACTCAATTCGAGTAATCGTAAAGAGTTGACCACTTTATTGGATGTATTGGTTCGCAACGAAAGCGCGGCCACTATTTTGGAGTCAGTTCTCGAGGAATGCAAACACATCTGTTCGATGAGCGCATCTCTTGTCATTGATTGCGCTCTTAATTACATCCAAAACCATTTGAATGATGTCTCGAAACTGGTGTCGGAAGCGTTCAAAGAGAACGCCATGAGTTGCGAAGAGGAAGACATGCATGCGTTTAGTCTATCGCCACAGGAATACATCACTCAAATCGGTCAGTATTTGTTGACAATTCCTCAACATCTGGAACCGTTCGTATTGGACGAGAACATCGCCTTCAAAGTGGCCCTGAAGTACAGCCGTCTCAACACGAGCTACAGCTTCGAGCCGACGGTCAGCGACAATAACGGCGCCGAATATCTGTTGGATTGTATGACACAGAGAGCGGTCGACGCCTACATCAACATCATTATGAAACTCAAGCGAATCAATAACTTTGCGAAACAACAGCTCATCACTGATATTAGCTATTTATGCGATGTGTTGGACGATCTCGGCCTCACTCCCGGCCATCAGTTCCAACTGTTGCTCAAACTATTGAAAGCCAATCCACAAGAGTTTCGCGCATTAAAGCAATCAAATAATTCAATGTTTGTCAATGCGATCGAAACACTGTTTTATAAACCATGAGTTAGAATACAATATAATTTATATTTATTTTTAATAATAATTATTGTAAATGTTTTTCTGTCGTTAAAACAATGATTAATTTAAACACAAATTTATGAATTCATGCGATTATTAAAATGAAAGTAAAAGTGTTGTCGTATGGAAGCGGTGGTCAACTCAATCGCTGTCGTGATCAGCCTTTCGCTTGCGTGAAGTGGAGGCGCCGTTTTGGACCCGAATGTTGAACTTGTATTCCTGATCGCAGCCCATATACGCGTCGGACATGAAATAGAGAGTGTATGTGTGCTCTCCCGGCGTCGGAGCCGTGAAATCCAACTTCACTTTCGACTTCTGTTGAATACTCAACCGCTTGATAGAGATGAGCGAATTGGCGTTGGGGTCGCCGATCACTACCCACCAGCCCTCCTCTCGCCGGTGCACGAAGAATGGCGCCATCACCGGACCCACTGTCTCGTCTTCGCGCTCCAACTGCACCACAACATTGACCGCAGAACCGCTATTCCAGTGATTACAATACCATTTAGAATCATAGCTATAATTATATGTCATATACCTCTCGATGGAGTCCTTGTCGACAATATCGTAGGTGAGCTCAATGTTAGGATAACTGTTGCAAAACTTGGCCACGTCTGCCATTTTGGCCGAATCGAAGCGCAACAGTTGGTCCCTCTCTTCGTCGTCCAAATCCATGATATCGAACACGGATTCGACTCCTTTCTCATTACATCTCTTGATTAAATCTGAGCCAAAATGAGGCAATTGTTTCAAATAGGAGTCCTTATTCCAGAGCGCTTGAGTGACCATTTGTGCCAATTCCATGGCCGCCATCGCCGGCCCCAACCAGCCGTTAGAGCTCAACACATCCACACACGCCTGTATCAGACGAATCGATTTCGACAGAATCTCTTCGGTGTCCGACTGGAGTTCGGCCGACAAAGACATTCGGGAGAGATGTGCCTGAAGTAGAAGATTGGTCTTCACGTGCGGATCGGTATACTTGATATTAGCCATCCTTTGCGGCACTTTTGCCAAAAGTTGTTTCAAAATAATGTCCTCTTTATGTCGGATGGGAATCGACTCATACTCTGCGGCACTGCTTATGATTTCAATCAAACCTCTAATCTTTGTCTTCGAGTTCAAAGACATACTAAACAATTCGATTGTCGAGTAATTGATGTAATAATAGGCGGCAATCATTCCGAGATTGAGTGGCGTTATGTCCATCTCGTTCTCGATGGCAATGCATTTGGAAGTCACCAAATCATTAAGAGTGGACTCAACCAATTCGGACAAATGGTCGGACAGGTGTCGGTGCGTAACGCCCGACAAATTGTAATAATTGGGGTTTTGAGTCATACGGCGGTAGAGGAAAGTCCAGGTCATGTAGTCGACGGCGTCCTGTTTGTTCTCAATCGTTTTGGTCACCACTTCGGCGTTGAAGTGGTCGTGAATGCAGTGATCCAGATGTGACTCCACCGGCAACGGCTCGTACAGGAACTTCTTGAAGAAGTCCTTTTTGGACGACTGGCAGAAGAGGACACACTTTCCGTCCTCATCGAGAAGCGGTCGATTGGCGCGACCGACCATTTGGATCACGTCTGTGATCGGGTAGTCTTCGTAGGCGTGAATCTTTCCGTTGTAGTACTGGGTGTCCATTATTATCACTAAATGTGCGTTTATTGATAGCGACCAACACAGAGATAGCGACACAACCACCACTTGAATGGCTCCCGAATCAAAGAGCTGTTCCACAATACGTCTGTCGATCTGATTGAGTCCTTCGTGAAGATACGCCACACCATTAGAGAGCGTCTCTTTGAGTGTGGCGTCGGCTATACGGTTGAGGAATGGCTCCAAATCTTTTTCAGTGCAGTACAGGAACCGATTGGGCTGAGCGTCGGCCGCCGCGTACGTCAGTATATCAATGGCTGTGATTCGTGTCTGTCGTCGAGAGGACACAAATACCATCACTGGATTTGTGGGCGAATGTGCGAGAATTGATTGGTACACAGGTTTGGACATCGATTGGAGTCGAGAGCCGTTATGTGTTTGATTAAAGCCTCGGATGTGTAGCTCAAGAGGTAGTGGTCTGACGTTGGGATGAAAATTAAAAGTCAAACCCTGATTACAGCCCAACCATTGGGCGATATCTTTGGCGTTGGCCAGCGATGACGACAACGCTATGATTCGAATCGGTTTATCGATTTGTGAGGATATATAACGCATTCGCGATGAGACCACTTCAAGAATGGGTCCGTCTTCGCCGCCAATCAATTGCAAGTCATCGACAATATATAGGTTCACGTTTTGGACATTCTTCCTCTGTTTCCAACGGCGAGAGATAACGTCCCACTTCTCAGGCGTCGATATAATAATGTTTCCTTTGGCCAAAAGTTTCAAATCGGTGGCCGTCTCTCCCGTCAGAAGAACCACTTTCTTATTCAACAACATTCCGAACTTATGAGTCCAGTCGGCGTACACTATGGCCGCCAACTGTTCCTTCGGAGTCACGTAAACACATTTGGACTCATTTTGTTGGATCGTTAAGAGCCGAAGAATGGCGAACTCAGAGCACACAGTTTTGCCGCTACCATTGGGTGCGCCCACAAACACATTGTCGTCCGTATTGTACAGCGAATTAAATACTTGTGTTTGGATTGGATTAAAATACGGAAACTTTTCCTTATATAACGCCTCATAACTGCCATTCCTTAGCGCAGAGACAGGAAGCGGCTGCAGATCCAGAAGCTCTGTCGGCGGCGGATATTTTTCGGGCAAAATCAAGTGTCGGAACGAAACGGGAAATACAGTTTCGGCGCCAATCCATCGGTCGGACACAATGCGGATGAAGTATTGCGGCGGAAGCGGATCGAAGACAGGGATGAAGAACTTGACGATGTGTTCGTCCTGACAGTACTTCTGCTTCAATAGGAAGTACTCGTGATGAAGGATCAGCTCTCCGTCCACGTCCTCAATGATGATCCAAAAGGCTTCGGAATTTCCGTGAAATTTCTCATCCCATTGAAAGTCAGGAATGATTGTCAGCTCAACCTTTAGTGTGGATCGAGTGATGGGCTGTATGTGTGCCGAGAGCTCCAGTTTCGGGAACTGATGGATGTATTTGTGAACAGTTTTGCCTAATTTAGGCATTCGAAGCAATTCTCCGATTTCGTTGGGACCCAAATCGTACAGTCGTTCCCACGGGAAGCCCTTCTTCTCAATCTTTTTCACCACTTCTTCGGGAATGCGTCTGAATTGTCTCAACGGAGACATGGATTGCCACATCCTTTTATCAATCATTTTGCAGAGAGACAGCGTTTTGTCGGCCAACTGAGCCCAACCGCTGTGCAAAACTATCTCATGAATGGCGCGCATAAGTCTGGCAGCAGATTGTGTCACATAAACCATATCCGCCATAAGCGCCAGTCCCTCGAGTTTGAGTTGAGAGATGTAGGCCTGAAGGAGAACATTGACTTTGGCCGACGGCTCCTCAATGGACTCTTTGATAGGAATGGGAACCCTTTCCATGAGTTTCATGAGTTCGAGCTTCTCTTCCTCTCTAATCGTTATATTTCTGAATTCACTCGAAAGCGAAAACACGCGAAACAATTCAATCTCAGAGAGTGTGGGCTTCAAGAGCTGGTTATATGTGGACATTGTCTCGTTTGTGCAGTAGTAATGACTGGCAATGCGTCCCAATTCGGTCACTTGAACTGTACCGGACTTTCGGTCAAACTTTATAAGATTTGATTTGTCGAGAACAGAAGCCGCCGTATATATCAGGTTTGATCGGTGGGTCTCCAGCAACGGGTCCTCTTTGACCGCGTCGTGCGATATGCTGTAGAGGGTTGGGTTGCGAAGCATTCGCACGTATAGGTAGGTGTAACCCAACCAAGTGGTCGCGTCCTTCACGTTCTGAATGTTTCCCAATACGATCTCCGCGTTCAACATATCGGGCAGTTTTCCCACCAGTTGTGACTCAATGGGCAACTGTTGGTTCAATAAAGACAAATAGTATTGTAGTTCCGAGTGCTGTGTTATGAGAATGCCTTCGCCTTTGGTGTCATACTGTGGTCGACCCGCGCGACCCAACATCTGAAGCACGTCCAGCGCTCCCAACTCAGCCCAACGGCCTTTGTCCGGGTTATACACTTGAGTGCCTTTGATTATGACTGTATGTGCGGGTAGATTGACACCCCAGGCCAGTGTGGCCGTCGACACCAGCACTTGGATGTGACGGTCGGCGAACAGATCCTCGACCAGTGTTCGGTCGACACGAGTCATACCCGCGTGATGTATGGCAAAGCCGTACGGCAACAGATCCTTCAGCTCCAGATTCTTCACTTGTTCCGCTTCTGTGCGCAACACTTCGGTAGAGGCGGCGCCTTCTTTCAAGAACATGCCTAACGTGTCTTTTTCCAGACACATATCGCGCACAGCTCTGGCCGTCTTTCCCGTCTCTTTGCGCGAGTGGACGAAAATCAAGAGTTGATTCTTTCCCGCCTGTTTCAGCACCTCGTCGTACAGAATCTCGTTCATCAACTGATACCTCTTGAGGGCCTTCTTCTCGGTTATGCCGATGTATTGCTGTTCGAGAGGGACGGGACGGAAGCTGTTGTCGAAATAGAAGAGCCCTTTGGCGGCGTCCACGCGCAGGAAAGTGGCCACGTCTTCGTAGTTGGGGAGCGTCGCCGACAGACCCACCAAACGGATGTCCTCCTGAGTGGTCTCAATGCTGCGGATCATACGCGCGACCAGACATTCGAGAACCGGTCCCCTCTCGTCGTGCAGTAAATGGATTTCGTCAAAAATAATCAGTTTCACGATCTGAGTGTACGTCCGTTCGCCGCCCTTTCGCGTGATTACGTCCCACTTCTCGGGCGTACAGACAATCACTTGCGTGTCGTTAATCTGTTCGCGAGTCAACTGGTGATCGCCCGTCAATTCCGACACTTTAATGTTGTAAGACTGGAGTCTCTTCGAGAAGTTGCCCACCATTTCCTGTACGAGCGAACGCATGGGCGCCACGTAAATGATTTTGAACTCATCGGCGCTGATTAGGCCGGTGTTGGGATCAATATGTTTGCCGATCTCTCGCATAATCGTAAGCAAAGCGACGTTTGTTTTGCCGGCGCCGGTGGGCGCGCACAGCAGTAGGTTCTCATCGGTCTCAATGGCGGCTTTACATAAGCGACTCTGGATTCTGTTGAGTGTTTTGAAGCCTTCAAACGCCGGCTGAGCGTATTTCGGCAGTTTGTCGATCGGAACCAAATTCTGTATATATTGTGAGATATAAATCACATATTAATTGTCACATACTTTCATACTTTAATCAAATTGATTGTTAGATTAATGTTTGGTAATAATGTGTTTCACTATATCTCCATTTAAATGTCAAGAACTCCATTAAATTGGTAGCTATTGTAGTAGAATGGAGAGAATGGGACAGAAGTATGATTAATGTAAACCATAATTACCTCATTTGCATCAAATGGTTTGGGTTTGAGCGCCGGAACGTGTATTACTTCGCAACCTTTGCGTTGCTTACGGAACGAGCCGTCCGGCAGTTGACACCTCTTGTTGGCCATGAAATGTGAGCCCTGAGTGAAGGCCATGTCATCCAAGTCGAGCATCTTATTCTTCGACGTCTTAGCGCCCATATCTTCATCCATGTCTTCGCCGTCATTATAGGACTGCGATTTTCCTAAATCTTTGCGCCTCTTATCGGTTCCGTTGGTGTCCGTACTCTCGAGCGCTCTCAAGATTTTGGCCAAATCTGGATCCGATTGCATCTTCTCTTTGAGGCGATCCTTTTCGGACTGTTTCTGAGCCGAAGCCAAAAGAGTGCAGTAAAGGATTGTCGACCGGTTTTGTCGCAACACTTTAATGAAGTCGAACTGATCGAAGCCCAAGAGTGACACCAATTGGTTCTCCACCTCGTGATCATCTCTCGACACCTTCAGAATCTTGAGAACGTCGGCGGCCTTAGTGTGCGCGACCTCCGCCTCGTCGTACACTTTGCTCAGATTCCTCTGCAGCCAAAAGGCGTCCACTTCTCGCGGATGAACCGCTACTGAACTCGATTTGGCTCTTCGGTCGCGTCGAGTCTCCACTTTAGTTGTCTCTAAATTCTTGGCATTAATGGCCGAATCGATGTCGGCGTCCACACCGTCCGCGTCTTCGTCGTCATCGTCTTCGCGCACTTCGCCCACAATCTCGTCGTCGTCTTCTTCGTCGGACTCCTCGAACTGAACGTTCACTCCGTAAGTGTCGCTCAAACTCTCGTCTGTCTGGTGCTGAGCCATCGACCGCTCCTCCACACCAAAGTCGGTGATCTTTCGGCTCAGATTAGCCAAAATGGCGTACTTTTCTTCGGCCAACGATCCCAACAGTGATTCGCACTCTTTCTTCTTCTCCTTTTCCTTCATTTTGTCGCCTTTTATCACTTGTAAGATCTCGTCGGCGGCGCCGCACATGACATCTCGCGGCTGATCGCCGATCATCTCCGATATGAACGCCAGAATCACTTCATAGGTCTGTCGAGTTTCGGGCGTTTTTGGCCGATATATGATTCCCACCGTTTGCTCGATCTCTTCCGACAGCAACGACTGGCCCTTCATTTTCGACAAATCATATTTCGACGACTCGTTCTGTCGACTCTTCTTCGACTTCTTCACCCTCTCCTCGGTCTTCGAGGTCTGCGGTCGAGTGCGTTGGTATCGGTCACCCATTCTGGCCGTAACCGTACGACCCGTGAGGGACAGCACTTCACCGGTCGCCTCGTCTTTGGGACGCCTTTCGATGAGACGAGTGTCCGCTTGGAGGACGAGATTAGAGTTCTGGTCGTAAAAGACAAATAAATATGGGATTAATATCAAGTGATTATCTACTTATGGCCACAATATCTATATTCTTCAACAAATGTGGTCAACACTTACCGCTTTGTACTCATACTGAAGATTACGGGCGGTTTCATCCGCCATATCTGACCCTTAATTGTCTTCTTGTAGAAAAACAATTGAAGTGACAGTCAATTGGTTTCAAACGGTGTCTCAAATCACAACATGTGTTGCCTTTTAATTGTGGATCAAATGATTTGAATTGAAATCAATTGCAAATAGCGTTCAAAACACGACTAATAATGAAAAACACGAAAACGTTTTGCACATTGTTTTCAATGCAAACATCGCTTTCATTACGACTTCACTCAACGTAAGCAACGTTTGCAACAAAAGCCGGTTTACGTTATTAATGGACCGATCATTGAATGCAACGCTTTTTGAATGCAAACACACTTTGCATTGCATTGAAGGCAACACTTCTTCAGACACCTCTTCCAGCGATGGCCTGTCGTTGGCCTCAAGAGTCGGCCAAATGCTCGCAAGTGATAGACGCGGCCCCCGATTGGCCGGCGATCGAGCCGTTGATCCGCAAGACTGTGGACTCACATCACTTCTCCCGATGCCTGCAATTGTTGTCCACAAACAGTGGTCTCATTCCTCTCGTCGAAGAGCACATCCGACGGACGGAAACGTTGAGCTATTATTGGGTGAAAAATATACCGATATATGTATTGATACACAAAGTGCTGATCGAGGCGTTCGTCAAAAGAGGACAATTGTGTGGCCTTTCGGTGGACAAAGAGGTGGATCGGGACGACTGTATGGCTCTGTTGCCCAATGGAGTGCTCGTCCTTTCGGTCAAAGAGTCCACTTATCACAGGACAGGACTGATCGGCAAAAAGTCGATTCTTTACCGGAAGAAGAATTGTGTGAAAAAATATATGATTGAAATCGATCTGAAGAGCGAGAAGTTTACGCCCGGAACCAAACTCTACGCCCGCACTCTCGAGTGCCTCCAGAGGTCGGGCCTTATATTCGATGTGTTTGTTAAGTGGGAAGTGAGTGAAGACACGGACGCAATGAGTGGTGACATATCGTCGACGTCTATAGAGAACTTCTTCGGGTATATCAGGGATAATAGCGATGACAATAGTTTGCGGACAATTGAATGCTTGCGGTGTTTGCCATCGTTGCGAAAGTTTGTCAATAAAGACGTTCCGATTCCTGTCATCAAAGACAACGTGTCTGAGGAAGCGTTGGATGCGTTGATTGAATGGTTTGGCGCACAGATGTGTCAAATCGATTGTAACCAATCGGAAGAGACGGATGTCTCCACATTTGGTATCGCAGACTACGAAGAAAGGGATGACATTTCATGTATCGCTTTGAACGGCTTTTTCACGTCATTTGATGTGAAAAGGCTTTTGAATGCATTAAAAGAAGCGATGGCTTCGAGTAGTGATGTGTTTGGTGTGAATGGATTGAATGCTTTGATTGTGAATGGCTTTGAAGACACGCCCATCGCGTGGAAAGGGGCCCGAAATGAACACTCGAAGAACTTGAGCGGTGAAAACATGTATGGCATCGCATGGAGTGGACAGCAATCACACGACAAGGGGTTGAAAGTGATTTGGAGGACTGCAGAGGAATATGATTTTGGTATTGAAAAGCTTTGATTCTTCGAATCGAGAGAAAGGATTTAATTGATGGTTACATTGATTGGAGTTTGTGTTGCTTTGAAGACTGAATCAATGGTTACTCCCATAAGACAAGTTGAGGCACAGAATCCATTGAAACCAAGAATATGAACACATATTAACAATTATTGTCAGATTATTGAATAAAAGTTTAATTGAAATATATATTTATTAATAAATGAAATGTTAATTATGTGTGATTTACACAAACGATTGATTGTGTGGTTTATGACAAAATTCTCTATTTTTATCCTTCATTTATACATTTATAAATTAACGCAAATTAATTGTAAAGTTTTGGAAATTCAGTTTTCAAACAATATACTTGTATCTGATTGTTATGTTTTTTATAATAATTAAAAATTATTTTATTAAAACCTAATAATTAAAGATTTGTTTTGTTTATAACGTTTGGTAAACAAAAGTATGACTTATTTTTTCCAAATTTGTGTGAATCGGCGCTATTTTGTGGTAATATGTCCGTTGATAGGCTATGGTATGTACTCTTTGATCAATAATTTCAATCATCATTTGATACCACATAAGAGAGTGGAAGAATCGCTTCATATGACTTTGGTATTGATTTTGTCAGTAAAACTAAATTTTAAATAAAAGTAAACTACTTATTAATAAGTTTTTAAGTTCATTATACACAATTAAATAGTTTTTACTATGGTAATTTTATATTTATTTAATTTTACAAAATATTTTGACACAAAGTTTTGTACTTGATAATGATATTTATGTGAATGTCATTTTTAAAAATTATATTACATTTAAATGGTATGTAAAATTATGTTGAATTAAAACTACGGTAATTTAATTTGATGTAAATTTTTCACATATAGTATGATATAAAATATTAAGTCTAAAAATTAATTTCAATTTTTAATTTCAAAGATGTGTTTTGATTGTAACGTTTGCTAAACAAAAGTATGACTTATTTTTGCCAAATTTTTGTGAATCGGCGCTATTTTGTGGTAAGTTTTCATTGAGTGTTTCGGGCAAAAAGCTCGACGCTATGCCCGCTATAAGGCATCCAAAACCCATTATAAACATCGGAATCCAAAGACCATATCTTCCCTATTAGTTAGGAAACAAATACAGTATTTAAGAAATAATAATAATATTAATTTGAATATTAAATAATTACCAAATAAGTAATTTGCGGAATAATGATGGCCACACCGGAGCTGATTGTCGAGCAAATACCCATTCCCTCACTCCTAAGAGTTGTGGGGAATATCTCAGCCGCCTGTTGGAAGATAATCATATAGGAAGCGGCCGTTCCTCCCTTTCCCAGTAATGACATTATTGTTATTAACGTTTTCTGTGACGGATCGATGAGAACGGGAACACAAAGACTAAATCCGCACACCATTAGCGACAATGTGTTAGTCCATCGGCGGCCGAGTTTACCCTCAATGAGATACCAGCCCAAGAAGAGGGCGGGAATGTCGGCCAAAGCCAACAGAAATGAATTCATTAATTCATTGCCGTGAAAGTTAAGTGCGTTGACCGCCAGACCCGCATAGGCTATAACATTGGCCACAAATAGTATGATTAAAATAAATAACTGTTTTCGTAATTCTGGTATTCTTATGAAATCAAGCGTTGAATCTTTTTGTTCAGACTTTTTAAGCTCTTCCTGTTTGTCTCCCACTTTCTTATATTAAGTAATTGTCAATTAATTAAATTATAATCACATATAAAACATAATAAATTACTTGTATTTGAATCATCAGGTCTTTGGGTGGTGTGAGGCCATTGACTTTAGCCACTTTAGTGAGCACTGTATGCGCCTCTGCATACCGTTTCTGAGTGATGAGCCACGAAGCGGATTCTGGAATAAATCTACCACGTTTTTAGAGTTAACCACATTGATTTATATGAAATATTGTTTTTGTATGAATTTATTGCATATTTCTTACTTCCATAATATAATGTAAGGAATTGTGACCACAAACTGAAATACTGCTAATAAGACCCAATGGCCAGTCAAGTAGACCACACCGGGAAGTATACATCCGCCCACAGAATAGCCAATGGCTGACAGACTCGATGTCTTTGACCGATAATCTGTTCCCACAAATTCCATCGCTTTAACAAATATTGTAATCATTATTAATATTTTAAATTAAAATACAATCAGTGATTACAAACCTATAATGAAAGGTATTTGATACTGAATTACAAGGAAACCTCCGCCAATGAAACGACAGATCGAGAAACTTATGATATCCCGCAAAACAATTGGCGAAACCAATGATAATAACATTATTATGTTTACGATTAGAAACGTCTTCTTTCTGCCAATCCTGGATTCAAACATCATTTCAAACAATAAATACATAAAATTCTTTAAACATTATTATATAATTGGCTTTTGTGTGCAATCAATGAAGCGTTAGTTTATGAAAGTGACAATTGAATGATTTAATTACACGATTTTGAGTAAGAATTTAAAGTATTTTTGCTAATTTCTAAATTATATTATTGTCTGACTTGTGAGTGGAAAATAATTAATATTTTTATGCAGTTAAAAATATAATAATATATTGTGTTTAATAACTATAATATAAAAATTAAGTGTATTTTATATTTATGGATGTTTGGAGGATAAAAAGACTACATAAATCCAATTAATTTATATTTAATTTATAGCGATATCAATATTTTAATGATAATGAATATTAATTACCAATCGGTAACCGCGGAGAAGATAGGAGTAATGATAACGAGTCCTATCGCTCCCAAAGACATCAATAGACTTACATAATGAGCGTTATTGCAAACCAAATCAAACTAAACAAGTAAATAATTTTAAATATAAAATATAACTATTAAATTGTTAAATAAAAGTGTATAAAGTTTATTTAAAAATTAATCAAATCATTATGCATTATAATTTTTATATGTATATTAAGTTAATTTATAAATTACTTTAAAAGTTTCAAGTAAAAAATAGTTTACTACCGGTATATTTAAAAGTTTTGGAGAATATAAAACAAGAAAAATTACCTTGGTGGTTGCAGTTGCTTCAAACACATCCTTTTCGTAAACCCAACCTCTATCACACTCTTTAGTCTTAATATCGGATCCGTTTATTACAGACATAATTGTTGTGGTATTCACTAAACCATAATCAATATCAAACATACGGCACTTATCATGAGCTACTAATCCCTGCTCTATAGTTAGTGGTCTAATGAGCTGTTGTTGTACTTCTTTGGATAGATTGGCCAACTCTGGGACATAACACCAGTGCTCGGGTGTCGTCAACATAAATATATAGTCGTATAATATATTCAAAGCCGACGCCGGAATCAAAAGTAAAATAATTACAAGTTTTTGAAACTTTCCGAAATCTCCCACTCCTTTGAGCAGATCCTCGAACTCCATATTTTGTGACACTTTTAATAGTTGTTAATGTTTTTTATATTACTTTTTATGATATGAGAAAACATTTATTAAATTGTTTGATTGAGAGATGAATTGTCTTCCGGAATGGTTGACATTCAATTCAATTGACAATTTAATTGAATTTATTATATAATATTCTATCCCTACGATCATAACCTTGATTTCAAAATACATTTATAAAAATATAATAACATGCTTAAATGTTTAAAGCAAATTCATGAATAACACACTGAACTTATAATTATAATCAATTCAATTCGTTATTTGTTTAGCTTTATATATTAAATTAATTTATAAACAAGAAATCTATCATTTTTAACATTGCAATAAATTAATTCAATGATGTGATCAGAACTTATGCGATATGTCCACAGATTTATACATTTTTATAGATAAAAATTGCACAGAATTTTACTTTTATTTCTACATTTACATAAAACTTATATTTACATTAAATTATAAGTGGAGATCATTCATAACATTTTACAATAAATTTATGAATAGATTCTCAGATTTTTTTATCAAAGAAATGGGAAACCAATAAATTGATAATTAAAATTAATTGACAATTTACATAAAATTAGGAAAATTTGCAACAATTTCTCTTCTTGTTTATACATATGAAATAAATGTCTGCTTTATGTCCCAAATCTTATCATTTTGGGAACATTCTTGAGGGTAGACTTTAATATAACAAACATATGCTGTACTTAATGTTGTGTTTAAATTATTTTACACTATTCAGCAATTATCACTATAATTATTAAAATAATTATATTTGGTTTATAAATCACACATTTTTATGCTTTATAAGTACAGCGAAACATAATGATTGTTTGTAAATAATTAATGCTATTTTTAAAGTTTTAAATAACAATTATTATAATATCTTTATGCTTAAAAGTGTAAATGTATGAACGTACTTGTTCTAATTAAAACTGATGATACTGTACTGTACTCTAAATATGTTAAAATAGTAGATAAATGTATATTGGTAAATATTGAATATCTGTGGTGGAGGTCTCACCGCAATGTACTTGTGATAAAAACTTGTGACAGAATCAGTCACAGCCTTAAACTAATTTGAATTTAATCTTCAATAAGTGATTGATTTGTTTGTTTGGCATTAAATTAAACTTAAATTTTGATACAAAAAATAGTTTGGTTTGTATTGATAGTAACGTTTCATACGATAACGTGTTTTATTAATAAATCATTTCATTTGATTTGTTTGACAGAAAAGTCAAAATTTTTATAACTACAGTATAACATTTTCTCATAGAAAATTGTTGTATTCAATGTGTGGGCACAAGTTTATTCTGGTTAACAAAAAAATTACCATGGTGTTGATCAAACTTCACACCATGTTGATTCAGGTTTATTCACATTTAGAATATTGAATCTAGTTATTTAAATAAATTAATTCATCACAAATATTATCTTATATTTTATGATTAAACTTATAATAATTATTACAAACTTACAAATTAAATAATTTTAAATGATAAATATGTTACATGTGCTATACAATAAATTAGAAATAAAACTGGAAATAACCTAGGTCAATAAGGAATAATTAAATTGTGTGAATACACACACAAATAGTGGCCGTCAATGAATGCGGGGGCAAATGGGTTGACCACAAACAACGTGACGCCAACTCACAAAACAATGTATTGTTGTCTATGTTTTTGCCGCCAAACCATTGGTTGCAATGACTTTCGCAATGCATTCCCAGTCATAACATGTCATAACATAGACTCGCATTGCGTTTGCATTAATTGATTGGTCGCACAAATGGACACAAAGCCGAAGACAAAGCCGAAGACAACGGCCAAAGCGATGCACTTCTTGGAAGTGGACGAAGACCTCAGACGTATGGCACAGACGGAGGCCTCGAAGACTCGGTGTCCGTACGGAAGCCGTTGTTATCGCAAAAATGCCAATCATTTGCAACAATACCGTCACGAAGACTCACCGCAGAAGAACACACACCACAGACCAGATGCCAGACAAACAGTCAGACACGATGTCAAGAGAGGTAATCCAGTGGTCGTGGTTTTGGTCGTTGGGTTTGTAATGATTGTTGATTTGAATTATTTTTTAGGCAAAATCACCGATTTTTTCGTCAAAAAGCCGAACATTACTCCGAAGAAGCGTTTACTCGAAGAACCCAAAGAAGAGAGCGATTATGAGATCGAAGACGACTCCGAGGATGACATGAATTCGTCGGCCGTTGTGTCGAAAGCGGCCGCAAATACTGGTCACTCGAGTGAAACACCGAAACGCAAGAAGCGAATGGTATTTGGTTTGCCATTTGGTTATGAGTTGTTGTGATAATTGTTTTTATTGATCACTTGTTTTAGTCCAATTCGAAGACCAATAGTAATAGCAAGAACTCGATGAAAGGCAAGCGCACCGCCGATGATGTCGTTGACAGCGCTTTTGATGACAGTCTGAAAGCAATACTAACTGACGATAACATTGATATGCAATCAAAAGCCTTAAATTGTATAAAACTATTAATTTTTTAATTTGCGGTAAAGATTGAAATCTTATGATAATTTCAGTTAAGAATCGGTCGCCTAAGAAGTCGCCGATGAGATCGCCGTCGCGTTCGCCGATAAAAGTGCCAAAGTTTTCGATTGTGAAACCCATCGATGAATTGCTATTAAATAACGACAACAAACCTCAGACATCAACAGAGGAGACAAACACGACATCCGATGTCAGCGAATGTTGCGCTTCGATGACGAGTCCAGTGAAAGCAAAGTTAACACCAAAACAGTTAAACGGAGTGTTGAAAGAGATATTTCTATTTGAAATGCCGAAAGACTTCTTTTATTTGTGGCATTTCTGCAAATCTCTTGATCCACGAAAACCCGAGGGTTTGTTGAAAAGCATTTTACCATAATTTTATATCTATTTGGATATGATTACAATTTTGTGTCACATTTACAGACGCTTTGATCGATGGTTTGGGTCTAAGACTTGTGGGTCCGTACGATGTGCTGACGGGACGTATAAAGAAGAGTGCCATCAAAGACAGGGATCAAGTTCTGTGTCACTGGAGATTCTACTATGATTTGCCTGAATTCCAGACTATTTTGGCCTCAAATACAAATGGCTATCATTTGGGTTACTTTCGCGACGAACCCTACGAAGAGAATCCAATTGTTGTGTCCAATAGTGGCGACAACTCGTGTATGATTGAAGGGATGGCCGATAATATCTGTGCAGCGCTTTATTTGCTGATCCAACGACGCAAACCAAAGGCCGCCTCTAATGCAAAGTGTTTAACAGAACTCGAGTCCAAACTTAAAGAGTTCTGCACTAAAAACAAAATCAATTTCACTGAGAATTCGAGACTAAAGTCAAGGAAACCAAAAGTGAACGCAAAGACGTTCAACGAATTGGGTTTCGTCGTGCCGTACGATAAGAAGACAGAAGTGGGTTATCGTCCGCTCCCGCAGACCAACTCTGAACTGAAGAAGTTGTTGTCGGCTATCATGAAAGTGGACGTCGATGTGAGAAACGAAAGCAAATCATTGGCTGATTTGCAGGAAATCATACAATTAGTGAGTTATGCGAACGACGAGTACGACTTCGGTATGGGTTTAGAGTTAGGAATCGATTTGTTTTGTTTCGGCGAACAATACTTTCATAAATCGCTTCTCTATTTGCTGTCAACCGCTTATGAATTACTTAAAAGAGAGCCCTTTTGTCGTATAATCAAAGCTCACATCAATAACAGGCGTAAAGGGTTTCGTTTGGATTGTTTTTAAATATCATTAATTAGTAGTCAATCAATCAATTTTTAATCGCCATTAATTATTTTCATGTATTATTTATTTGTTTAATTTAATTGTAATCTTTTATATAACTTAATGAAAATCATAAATTATTAATTGTTAAATCTGATTAATTTGTGGCAACATTTTTGTCCCATAATTTCTGTAATTATAATAATTATACATTGAATCGTAAATTATAATGATTTGTAATGATTTGCTTTTTTTACTATACTTTCAATGACTAGTGATATTAGGAATTATTTGTATAAAACATATAAACATTTACTTTAATTTATAAGTTGTTTTTCTCTCAATAAATAATGATTATTTAATTTAATTTAAACGACTTTTCTGTTCAAATAGAGTACAGTATTAGTCATTTGTGATTAACAGTGATAACAGCGATTAGCCATAGAAACTAATGATAAAAATATTTACGATTCTTTAAGGTTTCATTTAATAGTAAACTAATAAATAAATATTCCATTGTTTTCTGTGTATCGAAACTCCGTTTTGTATTTTGACAACTGTTTGAACGCAAACATTACAATAAAAATAAATTCATTATTAAAAATCTGAATTGAAAATCGAGTCAATGGAGTTGTACGAGAAAATTAAGGATCAGTTCAGTTTCAGCGAACACCGCAATGAGTGGGTATCGTTTGGGTCGGGAGTGTTGTTCTTCACGGGCTGGTGGATCATATTTGGTAATCATATTAATGTACACAATGTACTACACATGTTGTCTAAACTAATTTATCATTTCAAATATGCGGACACACAGACATCGCCGCCAGATACCCATCTCAGGACCAATTCAATCATACGTATTACATAATAGGCGTGTGCGCGACGCTGGGCTTAATCATGATAAATACGGTGACCACCGAACAAATCGATGGTAGCATGTATTCGGAGGGCCGGTGCGGACCCCAAACGGCTCGCGTTTGGCTATTTCTGGGCTTTATTATGGCATTTGTATCGTTGATCGCAACCATTTGGATACTATTTGAGAAGTTTGTTCAGGAGGGGAAGACCCATAAATACCCCGGAGTGGCTCTCCTTCTCCAGAATCTATTCATTTTTGGCGCTTCTATTCTTATGAAATATGGTAGAAATGAAGAGCGATTCTAATCGTACCATGATCGTATAATTTGCATTGCTATTTTTATATATTAATATAATGTTTATTTAATTTTTTGACTTCTAATTAATGTTATTATTGATAATATTATGAAAATACTTTTATTTTATAAGAAAAGTATTGCAAGTATTAATTTTATTATTTCTAAAAATAAATAAATATCGATTTAATAAATTATGAAAATTGTATATAAGTAACAAATGTTTTACAGAATTAATGGTTAGTAAATATTGTAATTTGTTTTTATACAACAATTTAGGTTATCATTAGTTAACTAAAAATTATTTAAAATTTTAATTTACAATACAGTGGTCTGAAGTGTTGTATTGAATGCATTTGGTTCTAAATCATGCATATTATACACAACATAAGCCCAACTATTAGACATTCCTATGACCACTGATAGGCAAATGAATTTACAAAAAATACCCGGAATTGCCATTTCAGGTACTTTTAGGTTCGCGGCCTCGTATACAATGGCATTACTGGGAGAGCCCGCGGGAAACATGAATGCAAACGAAGAGACAACTGTCACCGGAAGCATAAATCTTAAGGGACTTATGTGTAGGGATTCGGCCAAATGTTTGACAATTGGCAGGAATATAGTACTCGTGGCCGCATTGCTCGACACTTCAGTGAAGAACATACTTAAAGTGCACACAACTATTTGCAGTACAAGTGGAGACAAACCGCTCAAATGTTCATTCAAATGACGGCCAATCACTTTCGAGAGACCCGATTCCTATAAAGATCTAAATGTTTAAAACAAATTGGCAATAATGTAATGAAAAGTACCTTGATGCCCGATGACATGGAAAATGCACCTCCCATAAGGAGAAAAACACCCCAGGGCACTTTCTCGTTCACCGCTTTCCATGTCATCAATGGTTTGGAGTTCTGTAAATCCCGTGGATTGGCCGGAATCACAAACATCATGCACACTATGAACATGGCTGCCGAAGCATCGTTTATATAGTTGGATCTGTTTGATTGTCAACATAGAAATTACTTGTAAATGAAGTGTTAATAAAGTTTTTGCAAATTCCAACAAACACTCACTCTTTGGGGTGAAGGGCAGGCGCCCAGCCCTTGAAAAAGTCTGGATCTCTAAAAAACCTAAAATACAATTTTTTTTATTTAAAAAAACGTATGAAAGGACATGTATGAGTGAAGTGCATGTGATTATTGAGTGCTGACATACCATAGTGTCAATAGAAATGAAAACATGATGAGAACTGCTATTTCGTGAAACCTTTCAATTCATACAATTTAATGAATATTTATACCACATCTCACTGTTTTAGTTACACTTACGAAACGGGACCCAAAGAATTGTATTTTGATCGGATAAACGACCCAACCTTTTCATTGTCAGACCTGTTTGTCATTATAAAAAATATATATAATTGTAATTTTTTAATAATTTTCTTAAAGTAAATAAATAAATACTTTGGAAATTTGCGTACAAAGACGAGAGTCATGAAAACCCAGACTAAGAGCACGCATATAATAAGACCCGGAATGGCAAACAGCATCCAATTGGCAAAAGTTATGTTATCGCCTTCGAGACTATAAGTAATAAATAAATTGGTAAATTTAAATTAATCAATTGGATTTATAGATTAATTAGATTAATATAAATGGTATTACTTTGTGACCATTCCTTTAAATATAAGGTTAGTTGTGGTGCCGGTAAGAGTGCCGGTGCCTCCGATTAATGATGAGAATGTGACCGAAAGAAACAACACTCTTCTCATTAGTTTGAATGCTTTTTCATCTTTATTGGAATCCCTTTCCATTCTTATCCTATAGATTAGCATTAGTTTTGCACAATTATAACAAACATAAAAACTTATTACTTAAATGAATTTTTCCTCCGATTTTCAATCGCTTCCACTTCTTTTGGATCGAGATTTCCATTTAAAGTCACTATTTATTTGTAAAGTTATTGTTAAGTAATTTCTTACAAAATAAATTTGTATACAATTATTACAATCATTATTATTGTTGTTATTGTGTGTAATCGTGGATAAAGTGCTCTTTTTCTGTTCCATAATATTGAGGATAACGGCTTCAATAATGGGAACCATTAGAGCAGTGGTAGCCGTATCTGAGATCCACATCGATATGAAAGATGTCGTACACATAAAGCCCAACAAAAGCCTTATAATTAAAGAGTTGTCCATTAGTTGAAATATAAGTTTATAAAATATACAATAGACTACCAAATAGGAGACGTTCCGAAAAGCATTAATATTCTTAATGCAATTCTTTGATGAAGGTTTGACTGCTCTATGGCTACTGTCGATATAATACTGCCTAAGAATACCATAAGTGTGTCCTAAATATCACATGTAACATTAAAAATTAGAAGTACACATACTTGTACAAATATAGTACTTTAATTTAACAGAATAATTATTTTTTAGTAGTACTAAATTAGTACTAAAGTAAAAAATATTGAAATATAATATTAAGCATTTAAATCTATCTCATATAACGTGTTGCAAGAATCTTACAAATATACTTACATTGATATAAGTGGAGGCAACTTGTTTTGTAGACATGATCTCTAATAAGGGGTAGAGAAACATTGGCAGTAAAGCGGTGATGGCTAAGGGAACCGCTTCTGTTAACCAATAGATGATCATAAGTAAGACAACAAACACACATTTCACCTCCTTTTCAGAATAAAACAGTTTATAAAGTATTAGTTATAGTAAACATAAAAACAAAAATCTTAAGGATTCGCACCTTTTCTGTGGAGTAAAGAAAAAGTGACGATAGAAGTGGTGGTGATATCCATAACACAATCCATTTCCAACAATTTAATATTGAAAAACGCATTTCACCTTTGATTGTAATTGCAATTTGAATATTTAAAACTTTTTAAAATGAAACTGTTTTATATAGAAAATGTAATTTTATGGCAGAAATTGTTTGTGTATGAATGTACCGGTAATAATCATTGATGTGTTGCAGATGTTGTTTAGTAAACAAATGTAACTCAAACAACAATTAAGGCTTTTGAATTGTACTCATGTAAAGTATTGTTTATACAGAACAGAATAGATAGTTATTATAACATTAATCAAAACTATAAGTCACACTTCATTTAACCCACAGTTTGAATTAATATTAAAATCTTTCCAATAGTGTCTTGCATTAAGATAATTTAAGACATTTGAAGATTCACATAACACTTTTAATAATACGATCCGATATATGATTACATATTTTTGTGAATAAGAATTAAAATTACTGCATATATAAAAATTTGCATTAAATTCTTGGCAATATTTTTAATATTAGAGAATATAGTGTAGAATATTATTGAATACAATTACAATTGGACTTGAAATACAACTTCCATTGAAAAATTAAAACCAAATGATGACAAAGATATCATCACTTTATGGGATCTCTGATATCTACAATGAAATGTATTAATATTTTTAGTACTGTAAAGTATGTATTTAAACCATTTGAACCATATTTACGTCAAATACTATGCAATAGTATTTTGCAATAATTTTTACAAAATTTAATGAATTCATTCACTCGTTTTATTTATAAATTATGATCGATTGGGATTTCATACGAATCAGTTTCTGTTGAAAGCAATTAAGAATATAACTATTATTGTTTACAAAAGAAATGCACATTTTCCTTAATTTTTAAAAATATTTAAAACTAATTTTGATATTTGCTTCTTATTTTGAATGTTTTTATTTGTTCTTTAATTAAATTAAATATAGAAATAGCAAATTTATATGAAAATTGTTTTATATATTATTTTATAGGTTACACGATAGGCTGAATCCAATTGTAAACGTCTATCAAATTACAATAAATTTATTTAAATAAAATAATTGATCTCAAGATTCAGTGAATCTCACGGTTACGTGATTTGAATGATAATGTGTTTATTAAGTGTTTAATGACATAATTTGTTAACATAAGAATTGATACATTAACATTTAAAGTTTGAATTATATAATATGTGCTGCAATAAAGTATAAACATCGTGGTACTTCTGACAGACATTTATACAAATTTGTATTGAAATTAGTTGATAGTATAACCAAATATGACATTGATTTGAGTAGTGGTTATTTTGAATACTCAATTGATTGATAGCATTTATTATAGGAATCTAATTAGTTTACTCGTGATCAAATATTACTGAGCACCAAGTACAATAGTTCCAAGTACTAAAAGTACAAGATCAAAATAAAATCACATTAATCATTACTGTTTGAATAGAGTTATGTCAATAAATGTACAAATAATATATAGAAATTGCATAATTGAAAAATTGAATATAAACTAAACTGATTTACAATGAAATACATTTTTAAAGGATTTGTAATACAAAGAATCGATGAGTGAGGGAGGGGTGCACTGAAGGATTAGAGTGTTATTAATGAGAAACACTAATTTAAACACCATGGTAGATTTGAAATGCCAACTATATTGTATCTATACTATTGATTCTATAGATTCTTATAAGAAAAATACAAATATGCGAATATTCCTAAACTATATATTAAATTTTGTTATAAAAGTTTTACTAAACATTCACTTTGAACTCAACATTTACATAAAGTTAACACAAATACAATTAGGGGCACAATTGTGGACAACAAATACAAACTGTTGGATAAATACAATGTAATAATAACGAAGTGATGAACACAAACGAGTTGTACAAAACTTTTTTCAACGCAAATATAAAAGTTTGCAACAAAAAAAGTGAGACATAATTGATGTGTGAATAAAATGCCAAAACGTTTGGCACACAAACACATTGACTAAAGTTTAGCGCTAAAACTCAATACAACTATTGGTTTGTTATTGTGTTATGAAATCCTCAACACTATTAAAGCCATTGTTTTTATAGTAAAAGTTTGATTTGTTTGGCAAACAATTGAGTGTTGAATGCCATGAATAGCGGTAACGGCTATGCAATGCCTCCGCCCTCCACGTCGACGGCCGCCAAACGCGTGGCCGCAGACCTCACTCAACAGATCCACGACAACCATAAGAGACCCAAACGTGATATGAATGACAATATCGTTGCCGACAATCACTTGATTAACACAAACTTCGGTTTTGATCGCAATCTAACTCTAGTGACCAACTCTTTGAACAATTTGACCACAAATGGACACCAATTGGACGACCACTTCGGCGACGGCCTCTCCGACGACGAGCTGAACGATGTGTTGAGTCAAGTGGCGGAACACCACCAACCCGTCCATCAGATCCATCAGATCCGCTTCCACTCCACCACCGCTGCCGCCAATGGACGCAATCCGTCACAACTGAGCACTCAATTCATACGAATGGCCGATCAGGTCATGTCCACCGGTATGTCATCTATTGATTGCTTTTGCCGTTTGTTTACCACATGTTTACTAATGTTTTGTTTGTCTTTCTATTTGTGTCAACAGATGAGACCCAAAACAATGGCAGTTCGGGTCAAACGAATGGCCACAACAATGGGGGCGGTATTGCGAGCGCCGAAGCGAATGAGGGAAGGATTAAAATACTTGAGTCTCGGAACCAGAAGTTGAGCGAAGAGTTGGCTAATTATAAATCACAAGTGATTCAAACGAAGAGACAAGTGGTTGACGTTAGGACTGAGTATAAGCAACAGATCGGAGACATTAACCGCAAACACGAGTCCGAAATGCTGTTCACAAAGAGTGAACTCCAACTCTGCCAACAGATGAACGAGAAGTTGCAGACATTCATCGACAGCAAGTCCTTCGCCGACGGAAATAAAGTGGAATTTGTGTCCAATTTTCTCAAGAATCGCAATCATAGCCAAACGTTTTCGCAGTTAAAAATGCAAGAGTTTTACGGGCCGTTACCGACGCAGCCGTTGTCGACGCAACAGATGAGCGGATCCGCTATCGGGTCGACGCCCGACAGGAATGTATTTAAGACACCGAACAGTATAAGAATGAGTCAATCGTATCTGTCGTCGACGCCCACCGAAATACCGGCCACACAATCGCCGTATCGTATGTCACAACCCATGGCCTCATCGACACAATGCTCACAACCGACACGAATGGAGACCAATTCGGCCGACACTAGCGCTCAGAGCACTCAGTCGTTGACTCAAAGCCTTTTTGAACCGATAAGACTGGATATGGAGTCGAAATTTAACGCAAATCGTGATCTTTTAAGTGAATATTTTCTCGACCAACAAATTGGCTTATTTTCCGATCAATGGATTCGTTCGCCACAAGAGCTTAACGACTGGTCCCAGAGTTTGAACGACTTATCAAAACAATTGGAAATTAAATTTATTGTAAATTTTTGATTCAATATTTCCTGTTATCGGGAATTCATAATTAAGTGCATTATATAAGATTTTTTTTGTATTTTCATTAATTTTATTGAAGACTTATTGAATGAATTGTTCAGTACTTATTTAAAGTGATTTTTAATTTTTTGTATTCAATTATTCATTCGTATAAAATGTTTATTCTTAATAATAAAGTATTTGTCACATATTTGGGACCAAATGTGTCTGAAATAGATTTCTATTTGTAAAATGTTTTCCAAAATATATTTAATAAATTATTTTTTAAGTGTTATTCAAATGAGTTTTTGATTTATTAATTTTTATCAATCATTAAAGTGTAAAATGAACTTGGTATCTGTTTGCTACTGGAAATGCAAATTAAATTGCATTTGAATTGAAAACTAATGTTAGTATTTATATTAAAATGACAGAATATTCTGTATATTGTTTTATACAAAGTAAAAAATACAAAATAGTTGTTTCGAAGAATTTATAATACATTTCAATAATGTTTTGAGTGATGGAGAGGGAGGGGATGAGAGAGAATGCAAATTCCTAGCCTTTCGGTGCATAACTAGTAAAACATAATACAAAACAAAATATGATATTTAAATATATGTTGATATTATGCACAGAATTCATGTATCGATATATTTTTGATACATTTCTTAAAGCGTAAGCGAAGTGTCGGATAATATTGAAAGACAAACAGACGCGACGACAGGTTTGACTCTTCAAACCTAACGATAACACAAACAATTGAGTATAAGTTAGAGTCACAGCAAGTGTTGAATGAGATGTTCATTCAATTATATTTACTTAAAATTAGATTTTCAAACACTTTTGTCATACAATTGGGAGAAAAACCTTTTCGAAATCAAATCCTTTGATGAAAACATTGATTGTGTTATAAAAACGTTTAGAGAGATAACGAATGACTAGACTTTTGTTAAGGAATTTAATATAAAAAGTTAGTCCTTTTCCTTCTCCTAACATGTATTGAGTTCTTTATGACAGATGTTATGATCAAATACTCGAACAAAACTTATTAAAATGTGTCAAAAAATCTTATTAAAACTCGTTATTATTATTATCGTATATTATATTGAAGTTTGTGTTAGAAATATAGAAAATGTTTTCATTCATTCAAAATGCGTAGAAACGAAAAATTTTGTTTAACAAGACTTTGAGCTGATTTTGAAGGCAAATGTTTTCATAGCTTATGTCAGCAATAATTTAAATTCGCAAATCATATCAATTTTACGTTTTTCTTTACGTTTGTGCTTACAATTCATTCATTGGTATATTTCTGTATAAATTACTTTTAAATTATTATAAGTTATTCTCTCTCTCTCTCTCTCCATCACTCAAAACATTATTGAATATAAGATTAACAAATGGACAGTGAATTATGAAATAAATGTTTAAATAATTTTATATAATATTTCACAAAACACATGTTGTTTAATGATTTGGATGACATTTGAAACTATGTAAACAATTCCTTTGTTAATAAAAAATTATTTATCAATTTTTTGTAAACATTAACCGTATTATCAGCTATAAATTAAAGCTCATAAAATACATTAAGCAAATATTCCTACATCTTATCATTATTTCACATTAACGATAAGAAAATAACTGTTAATAAACGATAAGTTTATAATTTTCTTTGTCTTTCAAAAGTTCATTACTTTCTATTAAAAAATCAATTAATAATTGAAACAATTATCGTATCCTTTGTGACACAAAATCAAAAGTAGTATTGAAATAGTATTGAATTATTGGTGCGAAATATCAAATATAAAGTATCATTTGATATCTGAATTACATTTATTAGAACTCGTTTATAAAACGAGAGAAAAGTTGTTGTCATCCGATATTTGAAACCCATTTCCTAATGAGTTTGTGTTTCAAACAAAAGTTTTATTCGATATAACATTCATATTAAAAGTGATAGTAGTTTGCAGTTCTTTGCGGTCATCGAT